CTGTAAGTAAATAAATAGTACTTTAATATAAAAGTTACTTTATAAGTATATATTTGTTTTCATTTCTTCCAGGTGCTTTAGAAATAAAATAATAACAACAATGTTCAATACAAAGTTGAGGAATATTAAATGATTCAACCTATTTAATGTATATGTTAATTTATATATGTTAATTGCTACAATCTACACCAGACATGAAGAACCTTCAGCTAATGGCATGCTTGACTCTGACACATGAGAGGGTATTATATTAAACTTAACTATTATGTACCATAATAAAAAAAAAAAAAAAAAAAATAAAAAATGCCCAAAATTTGGGAAAACAAATTCAAATTAAGACATTTTTATCTTCCTACATATTAACAACTTAAAGCACTGGACAGTAATCACAACTCAAGCTAGGTAGGAACACACAGTGGGTCTAATTCTGCTTGCTCATTCTCATGCCTGACCTACACAGTATATTGGACTGAATTATGTTCAAATAATGTATTGGAATAACGTGGAGAATAATACGCAATAATACTTGTGATGTCATCATGTTCCCTATCAATCCTGTGCAGCATGGACTAATACTGACAAAAAGTTTTAAACAATCACAAATGAGGTGATTTACAGAAATTTTAGCAGGCATCATATTTCTTAATTTTTATATAAAAAAAAAATTCTCAATGCAGGTACAATTTTAACACAGCTAATTCGCAGCAAGACAGTGACTTAAAGAAGGAAACATATCCATAATTGCCTATCATATATGTACATATGTTAAAATATGACAGGAAGTCTAATTCCCTCACTTTCTGATCTTGAAAACACTATTTACTTGATTCCTTTCATAAGTTCTTGTTGTGCAGATTTTGTAAACTTTCATTTTAATTTCTGCTGATTTTGTAGAAAAAAAAAAAATTATCATACATAATAAGAGAACTTAGTGTGAGCAGGGTATTATTTAGTGAAGGGATTCAGGGAAACCGGTTATTTTATATAACCGGACTTGAGTCCTGGAAATGGGAAGCACAATGCCTGCACTCTAAAGGAGGGGTTTGGGATACTGGCAGTTTGGAGAGATATGTCGTGTGTTTTTATACGTATATACTTCTAAACTGTTGTATTCTGGGCACCTCTGCAAAAACAGTGATTATGTGTGAGTGAGGTGAAAGTGTTGAATGATGCTGAAAGTGTTTTCTTTTTGGGGATTTTCTTTCTCTTTGGGTCACCCTGCCTCGGTGGGAGACGGCCGACTTGTTAAAAAAAAAAAAAAGAGAACTAGTGGTAACGGCTTGACAAAGCTCCTGGAGAGCGAAACATTGCCACAATAAAATGTCACATTAGTTACACTTGTGTCCTTTTACTTTACAAATGTGATATATTCAGCATAGAGTTCTAATGGCATACAGCACTAGACATATTCCGATGATTTAGAGCATTTAGAACACTTTTCAGACAAACCTGATTTTTTAGCTAAAATTCATGGATTTTCAAGCTTTTTTATCAGAATTACTGATGGAATTGAAATTTTTGAGCCTTTTTGACATTTTAAAGTATGTTACATATTTTTCAAAAAGCCCATAAAATTTTGATGAAATTCAGAAAAAATTTTGAATATTTCATATATTTTTTAAAAATACAGAATACAGAATGCAGTTTTATTAACCAATTTTTCTTTATCTAAATCATTTGATACCCTCATCACCTTACTCTTTTCTATGTTCACTTTCAACTTTCTACCTTTACACACACTCCCAAACTCAGAATACAGAATGCAGTTTTATTAACCTTTATATAATTCAGAGTACAGAAATTGGAAGATGGAGTAACTGAGGAGGGGTCTAGGCATTTAGAAGCTGGAGCAATATAGGATGACCAAGGAGGGGTAGGGATTGTCCCAGGAAGGATTGGAGGGAGGGAGAAAAGGAGGTTCTAGCTGCTAATGGCTTGAGCATCCAGCAGGCTTGTGCCAGTGTGTTATATCACTGTGAATGGAGAAAAGTATTTGTTATGACTTGATGTGCTACTGGAATATGAGCAAGATAAGATTTATGAAAGGATTCAAGGAAAACTAGTTAGTCAGACTTGAGTCCTGAAAGTGAAAATTACAGTGCCTGCTCTCTGAAGGAGGGATGGGGATTTTGCAATATGGAAGGTCATTTAAACTGTGATGTCTGTACACTATAGTATTTCCTTTTTTGGGTCACCCTTCCTCAGTGGGAGACATTATTATTATCATTATAATCAAAGAAAGCGCTAAACCGACAAGGGTTATACAGTGCTGCAGGGCAGAAAAGTGCTGAGGCTATAAACAGCTAGGTGGAGAGGGGCTCAGAGGTGAGGGAAGAAAAGGGTTGGAAGGGATACTAAGGGCTATGTGTCAAAGCTAGTACAGTAAAACAGTTGCTGACAAAGTCAAAAAGTGATTGTAAGTCAAAGGCAGGGCTGTCTGCAAGAAGGGAAGATAAAGTAAGAGTGGTAGGGTGGTGGCATCATTGGAGGCAAATCCTGCGAGCTCGGTGGTAAACTGGGCAATTGACAAGAAAGTGAAGAACCGAAATAGGGACCTGACAAACCTCACAGAGAGGAATAGGGTGTCGTTCCATGAGATACCCATGGGTAAGGCTCATATGGCCAATGTGGAGCCGGGAGAGCAGTTTCCCAAGAATGGCAATGGTGGTAAGAAGATGGCCACAAACCTAAAAGCGGTTTAATAGAGTGCAATTTGTTATGGTGCATGCCCGACCACCATTGCTGCCAACAGCTGCGAAGACGGGCCGAGATGGCTGGAAAATAACCTCTGAACGGAATGCCTTTATAGGGAACCAGAAGATCATGCACTGCTGACCGCACAGCAGCATCCGCTTGTTCATTGCCCTGCACATCGTGTCCAGGGGCCCAACAGAAAACGACGTCTTTCTTTATGCTAGCCACACAGCGCAACCATAGCTGGATACAAAGGACTAATGGACAAGAAGAATCAAACTGTTTAATGGCTTGTAAAGCCCTAAGGGAATATGAAATGATCACAAATGTCAAAGGAGACACATATGTAATGCGAAGAAGTGCTATGAGGATGGCAAACAACTCAGCAGTAAAAATACTAGCCAAGTCTAACAAATGACCTCGGACATCATCATCTGGGAATACTGCTGTGAACCCAACACCATCAGAAGATTTAGAACCATCTGTATAAATAGCGATGCCATGAGCATGTGACCTGAAGTAACTGAGAAAAAGAGAGCGAGAAGCAATCGTAGACAGGAAAGCTTTGGTGCATGGTAGTGGGGGAGAACAGACATGAACCGTTGGAACTTACCATGGGGAAAGGGAGAAGGCAGACGCTAAATGAACATACAAGGGAGTCAACTGAAGAAAAGATAGGAGGAAGTGAAAATGAAGAGAAAACGATCAGAGTAGGCATGGGCGCCGAACAAACAATGGGCTTCTATTAATGTCTGAGACCAAGACTTAAGAAATCGTAATGACACGATTGCAAATAAACCATACCCCCGGCCGGGATTGAACCCGCGGTCATAGAGTCTCAAAACTCCAGCCCGTCGCGTTAGCCACTAGACCAGCTAGCCACAATAAGATTTATCCAACTAGGTATATTTCTACACCATAGGAAGGTTAGCACAGGCACCTCTGTGACCACAAATGCAAGTTTTTACAGACGAATCTCCAGCTAGCGTGGGATCCATCTGTAAAAACTTGCATTTGTGGTCACAGAGGTGCCTGTGCTAACCTTCCTATGGTGTAGAAATATACCTAGTTGGATAAATCTTATTGTGGCTAGCTGGTCTAGTGGCTAACGCGACGGGCTGGAGTTTTGAGACTATGACCGCGGGTTCAATCCCGGCCGGGGGTATGGTCTGAGACCAACCTATACATAGAAGAAACACAAAGATCACGAGCGCAGACAAAGTAACGAACATTCACCTCTGCATAGAGGCTTTCAACAGGGGACGAACGAAAGGCACCAAGGCATAAACGGAGACTTGATGATGAAGGGGATCTAATTTAGAAGGACAAGTTGCAGAATAGACACTGTTGCCATAATCCAGCTTGGACAAGACTAAGGTAGAATACAAATGGAGGAGAGTTCGGCGATGTGCTCCCCATGAACGACGCGTGAGAATTTTAAGGAGATTCAGCTGACCATGGCAAGCTGCCTTCAAAGAAGTGTGAGGTTTCCATGTCAACCAGCGATTGAAGAGAAGGCCGAGAAACTTGACTGTATCACATTCTGGAATACGTGAGCTGTGTAAATACAAGGAAATATCTGGGACAAAGGATGTCTAGTGAAGGTAATGAAACGGGTTTTTGTACTAGAAAATTTAAAGCCATGAGAAGTGGGAAACTCGGTCAATCACATCCTGAATTGAAGCTGCTACCAAGTGACAGTCAGCGCCTGGGTAAATTATAGCGAAGTCATCCACATAAAGTGACGACCAAATATGCAATGGAAGAATGGAAGGTACGTCGTTTATAGCTAAGAGAAAAAGTGTAGTGCTAAGAATATAACCCTGTGGGACTCCCTTGGCTTGTACAAACTCTGAGGAAAGCGAGGCTCTAACATGAACCCAAAAATATCTGTCAGATAAGAAAGCAGCAAGGAAGGTTGTTAGATTACCGCGGAGGCCTAAGGAGTGGGCTTGGGCTAAAATGTGTCATGCCTTATCAAGATCAAAAAAGACTGCTAGGACAGAGTGTTTGTTCGCAAAAGCATTTTGCACATACGTATCTAAGTGGAGTAAAGGGTCCAAAGTAGAGCAGCCCTTGCGAAAGCCATATTGGTGAGGGAAAAGACTATTGTTTTTAACATACCAGCTGTGGGAGACAGCTGGTATGTTAAAAACAATTAATAATAATTCTACTGTGTGATTCCTATCTTTTCTTCTTTCAATTTTTTATCATGGAATGTACTGCAACTTAAAAAATGTTTTTATTTAGTTTTACACTTGTGCTGCTCCCAATGTAATATATAAACAATAAGAAAAACTGAAGAG